ACACACACACACACACATGTACATACACACACTTATACATACACACACATATACACACATATACACACAGGCTGCAGTCCTGGTCTATAACATTAAACGTAGGACTTTTCATGACGTCATAACTGTTATTTCAGTCTCTCGCAGTGTGATGTCACTCCTATTGTCCGTGCTATTTCACGTTCTGACTGTGACGTCAGCGTGAGACGAGAGCCACTGGTGAAAGTGACGCAGAGCGGCTCTCTGTGGGCCCGGTGCTGTCGTAGGCGTGTCCCCTGGCCCCTCACTTACCGGTGTGGACCCTGAGATGGGCTTTGAGGTGGGACGACTTCCCGTACACCTTCCCGCAGCCGGTGAAGGGGCAGCAGTGTCTCTTCTCGGGAGACTCCTGCCTCCTCGCAGCCTTGTCCCGGGACTGCTTGGGTGCCACCGAGCTCCGGCCGTCCCCGGTCCCCAGCCGGCAGCCGGCCCGCTCCACCTTCTCCAGTGGGCCGGCGTCAGAGCCCCCGAGACACCTGCCGGCAGCAGCGGGGTTACATTTGTTCAAGTCCAATAAAATCATCGCCACCATCAGCAACGTCCTGTTCTCCTGGTTCTCTTTCAACGTGTCCTCTGTCCGCCCCGGGGCTCGGCCGGTGGGGACACACTCTGCGGACAAGTCGACCTCTGACATCACTGAAGCAGATCCGACCGGAGAGAAAGCAACCTGGGTGTTCATCTACAGAAAGTAGACCCTGTTTTAAAACAACAGCGGGACAACACGGATGCGATCGGTCCTCCCAGGAGACATGTGGTCAACTATCCACACGTGTCCGCTTCAATGTGACTGTGCTCAGGCTGCGTCTTCTGCTGCAGGCGGATAAATAAACAGCCCCCCAGGAAACAGACGTGTCGATCTTCCTCCCTCTTCTTCCTCTTGATCGTTTCTTTTCTCCAGACAGACGGATCGATAAACGGGAGCGTCCCCGGGAGCAGCTATTGTGTCCGCTGTGATTCCGCCTCTGTTCGCTCCCACACATGCGTCAACTTGTCCCGGTCCTCCGCGAGCTGCACTTCTCTCAACTCCAAGAAACTATTTCGCGGAATCCCGTGGTGTCATAATAAAGCGGCGCTCTGATTGGTCCAGTGGACACATGACTCGGTTTTTGGAATTGCCTGTTCACACATGTGAGTGACGGGACGATCGACCAATCACAGAAAAAGGAGGAACCCTACCAGCCTGATGCTGCCTTCACGTACTTTAAGTGGCCCGGGAAATACAGATACTGTCTCGAACTGGTTTTTATAGGATATTTGTAGAAATAGGAATAACTTTATACTGGCTGAACATATCCATACAAAATGTAC